GCTCCTCGCCCTCTCCCGCCGCTCTTTCTTGCCCCAGGTCCTCCCCAGGTAGACCCCCTCCCCGCGCCAGGTCCTGCTCCTTCAGGTGTTTCTCAGGTAGACCGTCCCGTCCCTGCGCCTGTTGAGGTCACTGGTGACTCCGGTCCTGCTGGTGGTGGTGCTGTCCCTGGGGGTGCGGAGCTTGGGGGTGCACAGCGTGTGGGTGCTGAGTCTGGGGGCGCTGGGCGTGAGGGGCTTGAGGGTACGGAGCCTGGAGGTGCTGAGCCTGCGCGTGAGGAGCCTGGAGGTCCTGCGTCTGTGGGTACTGCGTCTGGGGGTGCTGCGTCTGGGGGTGCTGAGTCTGGGGGTGCTGAGCTTGCGTGTGCGGAGCCTGGGGGTGCTGAGTCTGGGGGTGAGTCGCCTGAGGGTCCTGAGACTGCTGTTCCGCGGTCCCCTTGGAGTAGCCGTCTTCGTCCGCATGTGCCTCTCACCTCCCAGCAGCTGCACGACTGCACCTCAGGGCTCTACTGCTGGGGGTTCTTCTGCTGGCGTCACTGGAGCTGGGAGTGGTGCTGGTCCTTTGCCTGCTGGAGGTGCTGGTGTCGCTGGTCCCGGAGGTGCTCGTACTGGGGGTACTGGGGCTGCTGGGGCTGACGGTGGCGTGTCTGAGGGTGCTGCTGCTGGTGGCACTGCGGTTGGAGACCCTGGGACTGGAGGTGCCGGTTCTGGGGGTGCTGCACCAGTTGGGGCTGGTGCTGAGGGTTCTGGAGCTGCTGGAGGTGCTGGAGCCGCTAAGGGTGCTGGGGCTGCTGGAGGTGTTGGAGCTGCTGAGGGTGCTGGAGCTACTGGAGGAGCTGGAGCTGCTGAGGGTACTGGAGCTGCTGGAGGTGCTGGAGTTGCTACGGGTACTGGAGGTGCTGGAGCTGCTGAGGGTGCTGGAGCTGCTGAGGGTGCTGGAGCTGCTGGAGGTACTGGAGCTGCTGAGGGTGCTAGAGCTGCTGGTGCTAGTGGCACTGCACAGCCGCGCCTGTTCTTTGCTCCGCCGTCTCCGTCGTCTCTGCCACCGCCTGGCTTCGTGCTTCGCCAGGTTCTTAGCCTCCCGTCGTCTACTGGTCTTCCGTTACAGCCTGGCTCACCTCTGCCTGCTCCTTCTCCTTACGCTGAGCAGACAGGGGGCCTTGCTGAGCGTCGTGAGCCTGCGTCGCGTCCTGTCTCACCTGTCCGTTCCGGTCGTTCCAATCGTCGTGTTCCTCGCCAGCGTCAGCCGGCTGTCCCCGGCCCTTCCCCTGTTGTCCGTCGTCCTTCCTCTCCGCCGCCACGTGTTCACATGCCGTCTCCGCCTGCGTCCTCTCTACATGTCGTTGCTGACCCTGAGTCTGACCGGTTTCGTGCTGAGCACCCTACTGTCACGCGTCTGCTAGCCACTGTTGTCGCCGACCCGTCATTTGAGTCTGCTGCTGCGTCTGCCTTAGTCGCTGAGCTTGTTGACTTTGCTGCTCACTGTCGTCTAGACTACGCCGCTAGTCTTGTTGCTGAGTCTGAGTCTGTCTGTCCTCCGTCCGTCGGGGGTGAGTGTGCTCTTGGCACGGACGTCCTTGAGGACAAGCAGGAGGACCTTGAGTGTCTTGCAGCCGCTGCGCCTCATCTCGTGTCCATGTTGCTTGCCCCTGAGGGAGACCCGGATGCACCAGACATCCCGACTCTGCGATCGTACGCTGAGGCGATCAAGGGTCCCTACTCCTCTCAGTGGCAGACAGCCATGGACGCAGAAATGGCATCCTCGAAGTCCACGAGGCACCTACGTCGACGAGGTTCCCCCTCCTGGGGCGAACATCGTCAGTGGCATGTGGATTTTCAGGGTGAAGCGGCCGCCAGGTTCTCCGCCTGTCTTCAAGGCTCGTTACGTTGCTCGAGGCTTCAGTCAGCGAGAGGAAGTTGACTTCTTCCATACCTTCTCCCCCACCCCGAAGATGACTACTCTTCGGGTGCTGCTGCACGTTGCCGCTCAGCGTGACTACGAGCTTCACTCTCTTGCTTCAGCAAAGCTTTCTTACAGGGCAGCCTGCACGAGGAGATCTGGCTGCGCCGTCCACCTGGCTTCACTGGGTCGTTCTCTCCTGGTACCCAGTGGAGCCTCCGACGGCCAGTCTACGGTCTCCACCAGGCGCCACGTGAGTGGCACGACACACTGAGGACGACTCTTGCGGCTCTTGGGTTTGCCCCGTCGACTGCTGACCCGACACTGTTTCTGCGCACCGACACTTTGCTGCCGCCGTTCTACATCCTCGTGTACGTCGACGACTTGGTCTTTGCCACTGCTGACACTGAGGCGCTCGCCCTGGTGAAGTCGGAGCTGCAGAAGAGACACACGTGCACAGACCTGGGTGAGCTGCGCAGCTACCTTGGCCTGCAGATCACCCGGGACAGAGCACGCCGCACCATCACACTGACTCAGTCACACATGGTGCAACAGGTCCTTCAGCGCTTCGGCTTCACCTGGTCCTCAGCACAGGCCACTCCTCTGGCTACAGGTCACTCGCTCTCAGCTCCACCTTCGGACGAGTCCGTAGAGCCGAGTGGTCCGTACCCAGAGCTAGTGGGCTGCCTCATGTACCTGATGACCTGCACTCGTCCTGACCTTGCGTACCCTCTTGGCCTTCTGGCTCGCTACGTGGCTCCTGGTCGGCACCGAAAGGTGCACATGGATGCTGCTAAGAGGGTACTACGCTACTCGTGCAGTACATCGGGCATGGGGCTCGTGCTTGGAGGACGGGGTGACGTTGTCCTCACTGGTCACTCGGACGCCTCTTGGGTTGACGACCAGGCTACGCAGCGGTCGTCGCAGGGTTACACCTTCAGCCTTGGTTCTGGTTCAGTTTCCTGGCGTTCTACACGTTCGTCTTCAGTTCTCGGCTCCAGCTGTGAGGCCAAGATCTACGCCACAGCCATGGCTGCACAGGAGCTACGCTGGCTCACCTACCTGCTGACCGACTTAGGAGAGCGGCCTCGTTCTCCTCCAGTTCTGTACATCGACAACAAGGCCGCCATTGCCTTGTGTCAGGAGCACAGACTGGAGCACAGAACGAAGCACATCGCTCTGCGTTACTTCCTTGCTCGAGAGCTGCAGCAGTGTGGCCAGCTTCGTCTTGCTTACGTGGCCACTCGGGCCAACACTGCTGATATATTCACCAAGGCGCTTCCACCTGGTGATCATCAGCGTTTCTGCACCTTGTTAAGCCTTGTGCCCACACTTCCTCACTTGCTGTAGGCTTTGTTTGTACTGTGATCTATATGTATACATGCATGCTTGCTCTTGTAGGTAGATATCATTGTGCTGTTTTTGTTACATATATATCTCTGCATGTGAACTGGCCTTGTGGCCTTTTGCTTGTGCTCAGCTCAGACTGTGTGGTGACGTTGTGATCCACCCTGAGCTTGCTTTGCACTTCCTGCCTGGTCTTGTGACCCGCTGTTCTCCCCCAATTTGCCTATGGGGGTGTGTCAAACATATGTTTATATGTTGTAGTTTAGGTAGGCTTTAGTGGGGTACTCACTGTTGGGTACAACCCCTTAGGCTTTTCCTTTTGTACCAAACTCTTGATATTCCAATACCACCCTTGCCTAAGCTTTAACATCCTAAGGCGGCTCACAGGGCAGCAGTGGGCCGCACACGAGCTCCTACAGCGGCGCGCGGGGCCTAAGCGGGCTGCGCGGGCTGCTTAAGTGGCGCACGCAAAAAAAAAGGGTATGCGCGCGTGCAGCCGAGGCGCGCGCAGACAGCTGGCAAGGCAGGCAGGCAGGCAAGGTCGTAGGTGAGGTAACGCGGTAACAGGTGGGCCCTAATCTTAGGTCCTAAAGACCTACTGCTCTAGATACCAACACAGAAACTAGACAGGAATGGATTGACTATCGAGAGGTTTGGTACAAGAAGGAAACCTAAGGGGTTTTACCCCACATTATCTACCCCACTACAGCCTACCCAAAACTATAACATAGGTATATGTTTGACAACAGCACGCCGTCGCATTTCTACATGCTGCACCCGCACGACCGTTGTCCAGCGATGGTTTCCATCGCTCTCTCCCCTCCCTTCCCGTCGACCTCTCTCTCTCCCCTCCCTTCCCGTTACTGCTAGATGTAGTCGTCGTGCTCTTCACGCCCTTCTTCCCTGCCCTCCCATCACCCTACCTCTTTCCGTGAATTTTGCACACTTATATCTATCCTCACGCCCCGTTGCGATTTGTGCACACTTATATCTCTCCTCACGCCCCGTTTCCGTCGCCCTGTCGCGTTCTTCTCTGGTCACCCTGCTAACTCTCTGTTTTTTCCGTTCTTTTTGTTCCTCGATGCTGTTTTTGCCGCCATACAGGTTTTTTGCTAAGGCGTTTTGCTGTGCGTGAATTGCACATTTCTGAAATTGGCACTGCACTGCATGTGAATGAGACTTGCGTGTCGCAAACTTGCAACACATTTGCAGTGCACATGCTTGTGACGCCTTTTGTTGGATAAAATATGCGAAGACTCACACGAGTATCAAACTAGTTTGACAAAAAAAAAAAGAACATAACACCACCCAAACTTCCGTTAAGAATTCAAGTGGACCCAACTAGAAGGGGGGGGTCACTATTTTAGCTGCTGGCTTTAATCTTCCCTTTCTGAAAAAACACCCTTAATCAGCCACAAATATTGTAAGAGACCAAATACATGCAACTACACAACTATTTCAGTATAATCATGAACCTAACACAAGGTGAGCAACAGCAAGTGACTAATTGGCATGGTTAAAGATAACACCACACTTGCGCCAGCCGTTGGAAGCACGCCGGACCAGAGCAACCCCTTTGGGAGTGCACCGGACCAGAGCCATCCCTCTGGGAGCGCACCGGACCAGAGCCATCCCTCTGGGAGCGCACCGGACCAGAGCCATCCCTTTGGGAGCGCACCGGACCAGAGCCATCCCTCTGGGAGCGCACTGGACCAGAGCCATCCCTTTGGGAGCGCACCGGACCAGAGCCATCCCTTTAGGAGCGCACCAGACCAGAGCCATCCTTTTGGGAGCGCACCGGACCAGAGCCATCCCTTCGGGAGCGCACCGGACCAGAGCCATCCCTTTGGGAGCGCTCCGGACCAGAGCCATCCCTTAGGGAGCGCACCGGACCAGAGCCATCCCTTAGGGAGCGCACCGGACCAGAGCCATCCCTCTGGGAGCGCACTGGACGAGAGACAACCTATGAGGGAACCCAAGGCACAGCCACATGACAGCAGATGACGATCTTTCCAGCCCACCCCAGTTTCGCCAACCCAATCTCCTGAACACCCTGACGAGCAGGGTGCAAAAAAGGGTCCCACCTTCATCCCACTTCCCCAACCTCCCAACCACCACCCCACTGATGCGATCTGCTTCTGGCTCTGCTTCTGTGCTCCCCACATCTTCATCCCGCTGGAGTCGTAGTCCTGACTCTGCTGCTTCTTAAACGACGGGTCCAGTCTTGGTACATGAGAAGGTTAGAGGTTGATATGTCCGACCTGCTGAGTCACCAGCGAGTCACATCAGTGTTCACGGCCGCCATGGACGCCGGGAGCTTGCAGACCGCACTAGCGCGGACGATGATCCAGTACGAAGCTGCTTAGAAGCCGCGGGAATCGCATCGCTCCTCCCCTCGTGCTGCTTCGTGTCTTTGGAGCTCCTTCGTCCGCGCACCTGCCGTTCTGCTGCAGTGGCTCCTGCGGGCCGCGGAATCAGCGTCGAACCCTCCGCCGCGCGGCTTTTCACGAACAACGTTCTCTGACCGCTTGGTTTGGGGATGCGAGACGGCACGAATGAGGTAAGTACCGAGTTTGTCGCTGCCTTGGCCAACCCAGATGCCGCCGTCAGTGAACCTTCAACCGGCGACAACGATGTTGCTGGTTGCAATGTCACCGCTGGTTTCGGAGTTGCCACTTCAGACGCCCCCGCTACCGACGCCTCCGCTTCCCACGCCTCCGCTACCGACGCCTCCGCTTCCGACGCCACCAGTTCCGACGCCTGCGGTTTCGACCCCACCGCTTCCGACGCCTCCGCCGTTTCCGAAGTGATCGATTCTGAAGACATCGATTCCGACGTCACCGCTTCCGACGCTGCCACTTCCGAAGTTAACGGTTCCGACGCCACCCGTTCCGACATCACCGCTTCCGACGATTCCGAAATTATCGATTCCGATGCCACCCGTTCCGTCGGCGACGTCACAGCCGCCGGTACAGACGCCATTGGATCCGAAGTTGGCCAATCCAGCATCGACGAACCTGAAGATGTCAGATCGGTCGTCGTCGGATCCGATGTCGCTGAACCTTGCACTTCTTGATTCGTCATTCCTAGCAGCGATGCTGCAGCGTCGATAAGACAGGCTTCGTCGCGTCTGGCGTCGTCGACGCTTTCGTTGCTGGCGTCAGCGTAGGAGAGCATCGCGTCGCCGGCTTCGCTGCCGCAGGGCGCCAGCCCGAAGCTGTCGGCCTGGCGGAGCTTGATCGTGCTGCTGGAAGAGCTCCGAGGCTGCAGCAAGGGTTGCGTCGAATTGGTATTGCAACTAAGATTCTTCCAAAAACTAAGCGCACTGAAGTACGAGGGGTAGTCAGGCTCTAAGGCCATCGTGGTGACTCTTCAGAACGTGAGCAAACGTGAAGCTTATCCGAAGGCTAGAGGCGATGGAGTGCAGAATGCAGAAGCTAACTTGAGACGATAGAAATGGTTTTTTGGCTGCGGATTTGTAGGCGAAGTAGACGAGACCTTGTTCGGCAGCGCTGAGTCAGAGAGATGGCGAGAGGTGACGGGATGGCGGGAGATTGGGAGGGCGAGGGAGAAGGGCCCCAGTGGCTTGGTTTGGGGGAGAGAGTCCAGGCTCGGTAGGGAGAATGTCGCGGGATTCTCTCATGTCGCTGCCGAGCCTGAGACTGTGTTTTGTTCCCGCAATGGTCGCTTGGCTGCCCGCATTCGAATTTCTGGAGCGCGTTCTTGCCGCGGCTTGGCCGCTTGCTGTGTTTGAAGTAGGCGAGTTATTTTAGCGACTGCCCGAATGCATTTTCAGGGACTACCCGCTAGTAAGTTTGTAACCGCGCTGCGATACGGCGAGAGGTGGCGAAAGCCGAGGGGAAATGAGCGACAAACTCCGGGAAGCCAGTCAATACCAAGGGTTGACTGCACCTGCTTTTGAATCTCACTCACTACCGTTTTATATCCACGTACCGTACTGAATCTCCCTTTCACATTTAACCCCGAAAGCTTCGTCTCTGAGGCTTGGCCAGAAGCTTTGGCACCGAACCTCCTCTGCTTGGTTTCCTTACTCAAAATCTAGGTCGCGTTTCAAGGATCTGGGATGCGCCTCCACTAGTCCAATAAGCAGTGTATTTATGTTTTCGTCCAGCTAGAATTCTTACGTTGATACTTGTCATGTCACACTACACAGTGAAGGTAATTTTGGTAGAAGCTATAGCTCTCTCGATTGATTGTAACTCTGCCCGTCCTTATAAGAACCTTCTACTCTACAACTCTTTAGAATTGATCGCCAAACCGGTTGGGGGGTCCTTGGCAATGACGACCAAGCAGAAAATGCATCCAGGAAACTTCTCTGCAGCTCCCTATCCACGCGCTCCAATACGCAATCTTCTCCTTCTCATCGCCTCTGTAACCATCTCCTGTACTGACTCCCTCACACCCCGCTCCATGCTCCCTTCATCTCCACTCCCCCACATTTCCCCATCCATTATCGTACACATCTCCCCTCATCCCCAACATAAGCATCTCCAGCATTTTTTTATCCCTTGAAAACCCTGCCAAATCCGTCATATTCGTCTCTGCTCTCCCATGTGCACCAGTCACCCCTCCACTCGCCTTTTACATTTCCCGCATCAGCCTTTTGAGGCGCCTAAAAAAACACAACAGCCTTCAGACTTTCCCATCTCCCCACTGCCCCCCCATACCCCATCTCCTCCACCTTTCCATATCCACCAATCTCCCCCATTCCTTTTGAGGCACCTCAAAAGTCATCTCCCCACTGGCCCCGCCATTCCCCATGTCCCCACTGGCCCCACCACACCCCATCTCCTCCACCTTCCATATGCACCAATCTCCTCGCTTCCTCCTTCCCCCCTCCCCTTTCCACCAGCTTCCCCCGATTATCCCACCCTCCCTCATTTCCCCACTACCCCAGCCACAACCACACCCTCCATCTGACCATACGCCCTGCTCCATGCTCGCTCTACCTCCACTTCCCCACCCCCCTACCTCCTGCCCCCCTCCCGCCTCCCTCACAACGAGTTTCCCCCAGTTATTACCAGCTATTCCCACGTTCCCCTTCATCTTCCCCCCAGCCCTGCCGCAACCATCTCCTCCACCTTCCCATACGCCCTGCTCCATGCTCCCTCCACCTCCTCTGTCCACCCCGAACCCAAAGCCTTGCCGACTGTTTTGAGAAACGCCATCCGAAACACCTGAGTGTGGGACGGCGAGGATAGAAAATCACACAAATAATACGGTTGGTGTGTTGTGTTGGCGTGAGCTGCCCCATGCTCCCTGCACCTCCTCCGGCCACCCTGAGCGCAAATCTTTGCCCAATGTTGTAAGGAATGCCATCAAAAACACATGAGGGAGTGGGCGGGGAGAGGCAGGCAGGGATCGAGGTGGTCGGTAAGAGCTGGAAAAGTGGGGAAAGGCCATGCTCAGATTGAAAATAGATTGAAAACAGAAGGGGGAGTAGATGATCAGTGACAGCTGTTCCATGCTCCCTCCACCTCGTCCGCCCACCCTGAACCAGAGCGTTGCTCAATATCTTGAGAAAGGCCATCCGGAACACCTGAAAAGGTCGGCGGAGTCAGGGCAAGCGAGAGGAAAGACGGTCGGACCGTGGTGTCCCATGCCCCATTGCCCCATGCCCCATTGCCCCATGCCCCATTGCCCCATGCCCCATGCCCCATTGCCCCATGCCCCATGCCCCATTGCCCCATGCCCCATGCCCCATTGCCCCATGCCCCATGCCCCATGCTCCATTGCCCCATGCTCCATGTCCCATGCCCCATTGCCCCATGCCCCATGCCCCATGCCGCATGCTCTATGCACCATGCCCCTATGTGGGCGTCACAAATATATATCACATCACATCACGTCATACCGTACCGCCATATGTGGACGCCTGACGTTGTACTTGATGTGTCTGCCGCCCAGAGCCTGCATCGCTGGCAGCATGCCGGCCACCGCTGATCTGTCGTCCAGCTGGCAGCACGAGTCACAGATCTGACGTGGCGGGATGGGTTACCGGCATATGTACGGGCAGAGTGGAGTGGGATGATCAAAGGCAAGGTGTCACAGCATGGTGGCAAGCAGGCATGGCAGGGAATGGCATGTCAATGTCATGGCATGGGGGCATGTTATTCAACTGGCAGCATGAGGCCTGGATCCTATATCCCAGAACCGACATTTCCAGAGGTATGCCGAGCACTGGCTCGTCCATATCCAAGAAACGTCGGAAGAGCCCCACTTCCTCACCCTCGTTTCCGTCTTCCCCCCTTTTCCTCTCCGCCTCGCTTCTTCTCTTCTCCACCCATTCACCAGCTTGACAGCGGTGTTGGCATGTCTCTGCAGCACGGGGTTGGTGGGCGCTGGTTCGTCCATGTCCCAATGAACCAGGGGAGGTCCCCCTTTCCTCTCCCCTTTCGTCCCCAATCACCTGTTCCCACAACCCAACCACCAAAACACACCCTGTTGTCCACACTGACCAGCTTGAATGCGGTGTTGGCGTGTCTCTGCAGCACGGGGTTGGTGGGAGCCGGCTCGTCCATGTCACGCACGAACCAGAAGAGATCCCTCATCTCCTCTGACACGTCAAATATGCTGGCGGGAGGAGGGGAGGCGAGCAGGAACAAACAGATGAGGAGGGATGAGCAGCAGCAGGGGATGAGCAGCAGCAGGGGTACATGAGCAGTGAGGCACGACCCAGGAGAGGTCCCTCATCTCCTCCGACACGTCGATCATGCTGGCAAGGAGGTGATCGACGTGTCGGACACAAGGTTCAAAAATACGGTAAACGTAAATTACGGCTCGTAAATTACGGTCGTAATTTACGGTGGTTTTGGCAAAAATATGGTCGTTTTTTAAATGGACATTTTTTGCGGAATTTTTTTTTCCAGAAATTCCTAGAAAGCTAACAACGATGACAAGGAAGGCGACAACATACTACACTACAGAATGGTGGTTTTTGCCCTGGTTTAACTTGGTGGTGTTGCGTTGGCGAATGGAATATGCAAAAGGGATGAGATGGAAGGGATGAAGATTGGACGAACGCTATTGGTTGGAATGGTTTTGCAGTGTCGAAATTGAGTTGAGTAGCGCATGCGGGCGAAAAAAACGAACAGGCCGCGAAACGACCCACCGACTTGGCGAAACGGGTAGACTTGTGTTATCCGTTCGCCAAATGTACAATTTGCCGCGTCGCACAAATTTGTACATTTGCGATTCGGCGAAATACACAAACGAGTGTGCGAATGGGCAACAAACCTGTTAAAGCTGCAGTATACATTTGTCAGCTGGGTTTATGGTTTTTATTGTGTGCCTCACAGCTTTCGGGCAACTTTTCAAATTTCAAAAGTTTTTTAACCCAACCTTTCAAATGTATACTGCAGCTTTAAACTGTCACCAAAATGCACAATGTCGCGCCTCGAGATTTTGCTGACACTCACGACTCGGGAAAAAAACACTCTCGAGTGGGTTTGGGGCCACAAAAATTCTCACGAACAGGTTGACGGTTGGGAAATGTTGAAATTCGCTATACACAAACTCGGTTTCAAACTTTCGGTCGTAATTTACGACCGTATTTTTGAACCAACCTAATTTTGCAACGTCAAACCGTTTTTTATCGTAATTTACGACCGTAAATTACGATACCGTAATTTACGGTAAATTTTCAAAAATACGGTCGTATTTTTGAACCTTGGTCGGACACAAGAAGGCACGGGAAGGAATGAGAGGAAGGAGCAGTGAGGCAAGATGTGAAGAGGTCCCTCCTCTCCTCTGACTGACACATCGAATATGCTGGCGGGGAGGAGGGGAGTGCAGTGCACAAAAAGCATGTGAGATGAGAAGCACATGAGCAGTGCACAAAAAGCATGTGAGAAGCACATGAGCAGTGCAGCACGAACCAGAAGAGATCCCTCATCTCCTCGGGCACGTCGAATATGCTGGCGGGGAGGAGCGGAGGGGATGAGAGAAGCATGGCAAGAGATGCATGTATGAGCAGCGAGGCACAAACCAGAAGAGATCCCTCATTTCCTCGGGCACGTCGAATGTGCTGGCGAGGAGGAGAGGAGGGGAGTGCACGAAGATAAACAAGTGAGAAGAACACGGCGAGAGTTGCACGAGCAGTGAGGCACAAATTAGAAGAGCTTCCTCATTTCCGCCGACATGTCGAATACGCTGGAGGAACATCATACGCGGAGAGGGAATGAAAGGGGTACATCATACAAGTGCCCTCGGGCGAGCACTGCGAAATCGCGCAAAATTATCCTTCTGACCAGAAGAAATTTCTCTCATCTCCTCCGACACGTCTAATATGCTGGCCGGGGGGGAGAGGAGAGCCACATGACTAGCTGCATGCATGAGCAGTCATGCACGGACCAGAAGACGAGATCCCTCATTTCCTCTGACTCGTCGAACATGCTGGCGGGGAGGGAATGAGTGCAGCGCACAGAAAGCACGTGATAGCACATGAGCAGTGCGATACTGAACAGACGCAGTCCCTCGTCTCCCCCAACACGTCGAATATGCTGGAGGGCTGTGAGGATGAGAGACCTGATGAGATGTATGGGCGGTGGGGCACGAAGCAGATGAGATCCCTTGCTTCCTCCGACACGTCGAATATGCTGCTGGCAAGGGCATGAACACACACGCGAATGCGAGGGGAAGAATGAGAGGAAAGGATACGAGCATTGAGGCGGATATGACGAGACTCCTCATATGAAGAGTCCCTTGCGAGCGATCTCCGCGTCGCTCGCGGCCATCACCACGGCGTCCTGATGCGTGCAAACGAGGCGTCCTATAGCGGGTACGTACGTGAGGAACATGGTCGATGCGTGGTGGCTAGTAAGGTGTGGCTGCAGCCGTTTCAAGGTCTGCTGCACGATCTCCGCGTGCTAGTGTGAGCAGGTACGTACGTTAGGAACATGACGAGCACGTGGCGACTGAGGCGCGGCAGCAGCGGTTTGAACGTCTCCCGCACAATCTCCACCTCCTAATCCGTGCAAACGAACCATCTTATAGCGGAGCGAGTACGTACGCGAGAAGCATGATCAATGCGTGGTGGCTGAGGTGCGACTGCAGCCGTTCGAACGTCTCCCGCACAATCTCCGCGTGCTACTGTGTGCGGGTACGTACGTTAGGAACATGATTATCGCGTGGTGGCTGAGGTGCGGTTGTAGCCGTTTGAATGTTTCCCACACGTTCTCCACCTCCTAATCCGTGCAAACGAACCGTCTTATAGCGGAGCGGGTACATACGTGAGGAGCATGATCTTCGCGTGGTGGCTGAGGTGCGGTTGTAGCCGTTTGAACGTCTCCCGCACGATCTCCGCGTCGCTCGCGGCGATCATCATGTCGTCCTAATGCGTGCAAACGAAGCGTCCTATAGCGGGTACGTACGTGAGGAACATGATCAATGCATGGTGACTGAGATGCGGCTGCAGCCGTTTGTACGTCTCCCGTACGATCTCCGCGTCGCCCGCGGCGATCATCATGTCGTCCGGCCGCAAACCCGCCGTGCCTAGCGGCGAGCGACCCGCCATGGAAGGCGGCGACGGAGATGGACGGAGATAGACGGAGCTGGACGGAGGTTGACTGAGATGGACGGAAATGTGGAAGATGGCGATGGCGGGAAGTGGTGGAGACGAGATGGGTAGAACGTGGGGATTCCAGGAATCGTTGGACGAGGAAGTGGTCAAGGGGGAAACGGATGCTAAGAAAAGACACGGAGACAGTGGATGGATCACGGCGACCGTCGATATGCACCCTGCCGTCGTCAATGCACCCTAGGGCCGTCGATCGAGGCTCGAGCTTGCCTGTAAGTCTTTCTGGAATACTAAGAACCTAAGACCTGCTGTGGAACTCAGTAATGTAACTGGGCTGCATTGTCACCCCCCAACGCGTTCTCCGTTCCGACGATCGCGGTACCCCCAAGGGCACCTTTTGTAGGAGTCTTTCCCCCGCGAGAGTCATCATCTCCTGTGTTGTTGGAACCGTTCAGGTTTCTTTGAGAATGCCGAACAAATATCTATGCACGGTTCTACATGACTACAGTGCACAGTGCTGTAGCGATATTATCCGGGAAAATATGCCACACGTAACGAACATGGGACCCGATAACGTGAGTGGTACAAAAAAAACGCGTACGGTCACTGTATCGGGTTTCCTGATGGGTTTGGTAAGTGGGGTCACGAATTCAGTCACTAACAACAGGTGAAAAATCACGCGAATGGTCACACTTGTAACTCCCGCCAAAAATTCTTGAAACTCTACAATATTCCCGCTCGCGTCCAACCAATCAGCTAACTTCTAAAAAAAACTAAAACCCAATCGGAACTGGATGCGGTTTGGGAACGGATCAACCCTAAACGCCTGGCGAATTGTGTTTAGGGTTGATTCATCCGAAAATGCATCCAGGTTCGTTTTGGGTATTATCTTTTTTGGGCGGGAGTTTCATGTGTGACCATTCGCGTTTTTTTTTCCCAGTTGATTGTGACTGATTCCGTGAAACGCTTTATCAAACACGTGAAAACACCCTTTCCGTTGACCGTACCCGTTTTTTTTTTTACCAAACAAATTATCGAGACCCTTGTTGATTACGTGTGGCATATTTTCCCATATTATCCTTGTCAGAAGTAGGTGTACACGACCAACGCTATATTTATTACAAACATAAATATTGTATCTTTACACACATTGCGTTCGCGCGTGGGTAACTCGCGCTGTCGGCAATATCGTTGGCGTCGCACGCTAAACAGAAGCATCCTTTCAACCGAGCCAAAACCAGCCGACAGCAAGTGCGGAAGATCCCCGCACTCCACGCCCCTTGTCGCGCTCGTCGATTTTACACGTGGGATCGTCTATGCGTATTTCCTATTTCTTCTCGATTTCATTTTAGTCCTGTACGTGGGATCGTTAGAATATACCACTCGAACTTTGCATGCAGCTTTTCGTGTAGTCCTGTCCTGAGCCTTGAGCGAGGCGTTCATCATTAACGTTCGTTTCCTGCACAAACCCGCGAAAGAAGCGATGTTGCTCGCCTCTCGGCGAACGCCTCGCTTAGTCGCAAGATCAGGCGTCGCACGGGTAACATGGCCGTCGATTATCGTCGCACTGCTCGCACAGGTTGCATCTGGAGAAGGCGCTGCTGAGGCTGGGGGAAACATCGGAGGAATGGCGGCGAGCGGGATTGAGACGGGAAGCAGCAACGTCTGGGTGGTGCTGGTGGGATCTTCACGAAACTGGTGTGTAATGGGGTGGGGTTCAGTGGGGTGCAATGGGGAGCAGTGCGGTCACCACGGTGGTGATCGGTGGCACTGAGAGAGGTTAGGTGAAGCGAGCAGCAGCAACGTGTGGGTGGTCCTGGTGGGATATTCGCGAAACTGGTGAGTGCGTGCGTCCTGATGAGGTGCGGTGGCGTGTAATGGGGTGGGGTGGAGTGGGGCGCAGTGTGGTGGTGAACGGTAGCTCTAGGTGGGTAAGGTGAAGCGAGCAGCAGCAACGTGTGGGTGGTGCTTGTGGGAACATGGCGAAACTGGTGAGTGCGTGCGTCCTGATGAGATGCAGTGGGGTGCAGCGCGGTGGTGAGTGGTGATAAGGAAGGAGGTGCGGTGAGCAGCAGCAGAGCGTGTATGGTGTCAGGGTGGAGGGGGCCAAGGCAGGCTGCAGCAAAGTGTGGGTGCTGCTGGTGGGATCGTCCGGAAACTGATGAGTGCATATTGGCGCGGTCCAATGCGGTGGTGAATGGTGATGAGGAAGGAAGTGAGGCGAGCAGCAGTAACAATGTATGAGTGAGCGAAGATTTGTCTGGTGTAGGGATGGAAGTGGGTTGAATCATGGCGAAAGACGGCATTAGATGTGTGAAAGGGAGTGAATATTTGACAAGTGTGGGGATGAGTAGGCATGTGACGGACGGTGTGACAAAGTTTCTGAGTGTGTTGGGTGTGGGAATGGGTAAGCATGTTAGGCTTGTTGGGAGTATGCACCATTTACTGTTACATCATGGCTTGTATCTCCTCATGCCTCATGATTCCTCATGCCTTTGTCACGACCTTGTGGTGATGTGTGTGTGATGTGTGTGTGAGGCGTGTGTGATGTGTGTGTGATGCGTGTGTGATGCGTGTGTGATGTGTGTGTGATGCGTGTGTGATGTGTGTGTGATGTGTGTGTGATGCGTGTGTGATGTGTGTGTGATGTGTGTGTGAGGCGTGTGTGATGTGTGTGTGATGCGTGTGTGAGGCGTGTGTGATGTGTGTGTGATGCGTGTGTGATGCGTGTGTGATGTGTGTGTGATGCGTGTGTGATGTGTGTGTGATGCGTGTGTGATGTGTGTGTGATGCGTGTGTGATGTGTGTGTGATGTGTGTGTGATGTGTGTGTGATGCGTGTGTGATGTGTGTGTGATGTGTGTGTGAGGCGTGTGTGATGTGTGTGTGATGCGTGTGTGATGCGTGTGTGATGTGTGTGTGATGCGTGTGTGATGTGTGTGTGATGTGTGTGTGATGTGTGTGTGATGTGTGTGTGATGTGTGATGAGTAATTTGCATTGTGCAATGTGCGATCTCCTCTGCATTTATGGCAGGCTCAACTATCGAGACAATGCCAACACCCTCGCACTGTACAGGTAACATGCAGCCGCTGCTTTGCTGCTGCACCCAGCTGCTTGCTTCTGCACGCTACTACTGGTCGTCTGTCGTGTCAAAAGCCGTTCGTTATTGTCAAATGATGTCTCGCTGGGTGCTGCTCATGTCTTCTGATTCTAACCAGGAGTGTGTGGAATGTTGTACCTTAACACCCGTGCAACCCCATGAACCACTCCCCACAACCAAAACTTTCCACCCTTCCAACAACGGATCCGCAACAACTTGAAGCACAGGAGTGTGCGCGATCTGGGAGTGTCAGACGAGCGAATCACCCTAATGCTGGCGGACAACCCCCGCAACCCCATTCAGCCGTCCCCCACCACTTTCCACCCCTTAAACTCCAGGAGTGTGCGGGACCTGGGCGTCTCAGATGAGCGAATCATCCTGATGCTGGCAGACAACATGCCCTGCAACCCCCGCAACCCCCACCCTGGGCGCGTCTTCCACAGCCCCGACCACCGCCTGAACCTCTACGGGGAGCACGTGGAGGTGAGAGGTAGTAGCACTAGCCTGTGTGTCTTCCACAGCCCCGACCACCGCCTGAACCTCTACGGGGAGCACGTGGAGGTGAGAGGTAGTAGCACTAGCCTGTGTGTCTTCCACAGCCCCGACCACCGCCTGAACCTCTACGGGGAGCACGTGGAGGTGAGAGGTAGTAGCACTAGCCTGTGTGTCTTCCACAGCCCCGACCACCGCCTGAACCTCTACGGGGAGCACGTGGAGGTGAGAGGTAGTAGCACTAGCCTGTGTGTCTTCCACAGCCCCGACCACCGCCTGAACCTCTACGGGGAGCACGTGGAGGTGAGAGGTAGTAGCACTAGCCTGTGTGTCTTCCACAGCCCCGACCACCGCCTGAACCTCTACGGGGAGCACGTGGAGGTGAGAGGTAGTAGCACTAGCCTGTGTGTCTTCCACAGCCCCGACCACCGCCTGAACCTCTACGGGGAGCACGTGGAGGTGAGAGGTAGTAGCACTAGCCTGTGTGTCTTCCACAGCCCCGACCACCGCCTGAACCTCTACGGGGAGCACGTGGAGGTGAGAGGTAGTAGCACTAGCCTGTGTGTCTTCCACAGCCCCGACCACCGCCTGAACCTCTACGGGGAGCACGTGGAGGTGAGAGGTAGTAGCACTAGCCTGTGTGTCTTCCACAGCCCCGACCACCGCCTGAACCTCTACGGGGAGCACGTGGAGGTGAGAGGTAGTAGCACTAGCCTGTCTGTCTTCCACAGCCCCGACCACCGCCTGAACCTCTACGGGGAGCACGTGGAGGTGAGAGGTAGTAGCACTAGCCTGTGTGTCTTCCACAGCCCCGACCACCGCCTGAACCTCTACGGGGAGCACGTGGAGGTGAGAGGTAGTAGCACTAGCCTGTGTGTCTTCCACAGCCCCGACCACCGCCTGAACCTCTACGGGGAGCACGTGGAGGTGAGAGGTAGTAGCACTAGCCTGTGTGTCTTCCACAGCCCCGACCACCGCCTGAACCTCTACGGGGAGCACGTGGAGGTGAGAGGTAGTAGCACTAGCCTGTGTGTCTTCCACAGCCCCGACCACCGCCTGAACCTCTACGGGGAGCACGTGGAGGTGAGAGGTAGTAGCACTAGCCTGTGTGTCTTCCACAGCCCCGACCACCGCCTGAACCTCTACGGGGAGCACGTGGAGGTGAGAGGTAGTAGCACTAGCCTGTGTGTCTTCCACAGCCCCGACCACCGCCTGAACCTCTACGGGGAGCACGTGGAGGTGAGAGGTAGTAGCACTAGCCTGTGTGTCTTCCACAGCCCCGACCACCGCCTGAACCTCTATGGGGAGCACGTGGAGGTGAGTGAGATGAGAGGTGAGTGAGATGAGAGGTGAGTGAGATGAGAGGTGAGTGAGATGAGAGGTGAGTGAGATGAGAGGTGAGTGAGATGAGAGGTGAGTGAGATGAGATGTGAGTGAGATGAGATGTGAGTGAGATGAGTGGGATGCTAGTATTGGGGGTGGTAGCAGTGGTAGTGCCTGTGTGTCTTCCACAGCCCTGACCACCGCCTGAACCTATATGGCGAGCACGTGGAGGTGAGAGGAGGGGTCAGTGTCAGAGGTGATACAGTGGTAGTGCTGGGCCCCGCCCCAGGCATGCCCATCTGTCTTCCACAGCCCTGACCACCGCCTGAACCTCTATGGGGAGCACGTGGAGGTGAGGGGTGGTGGTGGGATGGTGGTGGTGGGATGGTGGTATGGAGTATGAATCTAGTGGGAGTGGTATCACATGGGCTGGGTGCCGTGTCTTCAACCACAGCCCCGACCACCGCCTGAACCTCTATGGGGAGCACGTGGAGGTGAGGGGAAGGGTGGTATTGGCGTGGTAGTATTGGCGTGGTAGTATTGGTAATGCTTGAGCCCATGTGTGCCTGTGTGTCGTCCACAGCCCGGACCACCGCCACAAACAACCTCTAAGCGTTCCTATCACTTCTTCTCCCCCCATTTCTGTGCCTCTCCAACTCTCCTCTCCTACTCTCCTCTCCCACTCTCCTCTCCCTCTCCTCTTCTCAGGTGGACTACCGCGGGGCGGAGGTGACAGTGGATGCGGTCCTGCACCACCACCACCACAGACGCATCCCCCTCCCTGTCTCTGCTCGTTCCTTCTCCCCACCCCCCCCGCCCCCCCGTCCCCCCGTCCTCCCCATTTCCCTCTCTCAGGTGGACTACCGCGGGGCGGAGGTGACGGTGGATGCGTTCCTGCGCCTGCTCACCGGGCGGCACGATTCGTCTGTTCCGCGCAGCAAGCGGCTTCTGTCGGACGGCAGCAGCCGCATCCTCATCTACCTCACGGGCCACGGGGGAGACAAGTTCCTCAAATTCCGTGATAAGGAGGAGCTGCAGGCTCAAGATTTGGCCGACGCCTTTCACCACATGCACCAACAGCACAGGTGGGTGGGTCGTCCCTCCTGTTTGTGCGTTCCTCCTGGTTCTCACATCTTCATCTACCTGACGGGCCACGGGGGAGACAAGTTTCTGAAATTCCGGGACAAAGAGGAGCTGCAAGCTCAAGATTTGGCGGGCGCCTTTCATCACATGCACCAGCAGCACAGGTGTGCCGTCCTTCTTTCTGACACTGCGAGATCTGGCCTAACCACTAATCTGGGCCTACACTAACCATATGCCCCCGAGGTCACAGGTGGGCAGCAGCATCTCTCTATTGCATCCTATTTGACCTGATAAATGTCAAAGTATATTTCCAAAATCGTGTTAAACATGTCTGGATGGTGTAGTCGGTTATCACGCCAGTCTCACACACTGGAGGTCTCCGGTTCGATTCCGGGTTCAGACATTTTATTCCTCCAACATTCACGCGCCCATTTTCCCTGCCAGAGTCACCTGACCTGCACCCTGGAGTTCACCCCTTTCAATCAATCATTCCCCCCTTCCTCCCCTCCCCCCCTCCTTCAGCCCCCTTCTTTCTGTCACAGCAGCAAGTACAACTTGATCCTCCGCATGGTCGCATAATGCCATTGGATAACCTCCTTCCTTCTCCCATAACAGCACCTCCCATACCTCTCTTTTCTCTCATATTTTTACCATTCCTCTCCCATATTTTTTCACCACCCTTTCCCCTGTCCCATCCCAGGTACCATTCAATCCTTCTCATGATCGACACATGCCAGGCGCAAACTCTCTACTCCGAGGTATGCCCTGCTCTGATGCTGCTCTGCAGTGAATAGTATGTCTGCTTACCAATCTATTTCTCTCTCCCTCTCTCCATCCTCCTTATAATTGACACATGCCAGGCGCAAACCCACTGCTCCGAGGTAACACCCTCTCATCCTCACCACCCTCTCATCCTCACCACCCTCTCATCCTCACCACCCTCTCATCCTCACCACCCTGTCATCCTCACCACCCTGTCATCCTCACCACCCTGTCATCCTCACCATCCTGTCATCTCCCCAGAATAGTCTTTCTCGCCACCAGTCAACATCCGTCGTTCTGCGCCCTTTGCTTGTCGCCCCTTGCCATTCACCCCCTCACTCTGTGACCCCCTCACTGCAGATCTACTCTCCAGGTGCCGTCTCTGTCGCCAGCAGTGCCAAGGCCGACAGTATTCGCCTACGCCCTTCGGCCTGCCTTCCTCCTCCCTCCCCGCCGTTCACCCTGTGACCCCCTCACTGTAGATCTACTCTGATCTTCACCCTCCTCCGGTATTGACTCTGTCGCCAGCAGTGCCAATTGAAACACACCATCGCCCTTCGCCCTTCACCCTTCATCCTTTGCCTCCCCCTCTCTGCGCTCCCCACGTGATCCCCTTCCCTCACTGTAGATCTACTCCCCCGGCATTGTCTCTGTCGCCAGCAGTGCCAAGGGCGAGATGTCCTACTCCTACCTGCCTGACCTCGATGTAAGCACATGCCTTACAGGCACATCTTGTGATAGCACGCTTTGCTCTTATTGCACTGTGCTATTATATCTCCTGCTCCCGCCTGCCTGACCTTGATGTGAGCGCATGCGTGCCTTTGATGTGAGCGCATGCGTGCCTTTGATGTGAGCGCATGCGTGCACAAACACATCAGCACAATGTGAGATTAGTGCTTTCTGCTATGGTCACATGCTGCTTTGGGAAGTCCTGCTCCTACCTCCCTGACTTTGAGAAGTCACGTGTAGAAAGTGTTAGATTTGAGACGTCTCAAAACCAGAATTCTACACGTAAGTCCTACTCCTACCTCCCTGATTTTAATACATTCACATGTCTGTACAAGTGCGTCCATTGATACGCACTTTCGATTGGATTCACGTGCCGTCTGCTATAGTCACACTCTGCAATAAGTGCCGTCTGTATAATTACTTGCTGGTAGGAGTACGTCCCACATCTCAGAATGGAAGCAATATACTTCAATATAAGCACGTTGTATAGGCGTTTGCTGATCTGAGCATATGCTAATGTGTATGGGAGTGAATGGTCACGCCCATTAACTGTTTTGAGTTGACTCAAAACACGACCCATCTTTACCTTCGTTTCCAGTTTTGAGGCGCCTCAAAACTAGACTTCCCCACCCCGCCTCTTGTCCCTTGTCTCCTGCGTCCAGCTGGGAGTCACAGTGGTGGATCTCTTCACATACCACACGTTGCAGTTTCTGCATCAAATCAACGCTCGCTCCAACGTCTCTCTCGCCAGGTAACACCTCCCTTGGCAGTTAACACCTTCTCAAGTAGTTTCGGTTATTTCATGCAACAGTATGCTGAAGTCTATTTTCTTGTCGCAGTCTAATGGCCTCCTCATGGCCACCCGAAACCCATGAGTGTGCGGCCAACACCATGTATGTGCACAAGCCAACCCACACTCATGTGTGTGCAACACTGCAGCCATGCTGTATAAGATCCTTACCTTTTGAGACATCTCAAAAAAGGCATCACTGCAAGCACCACTGCAAGCACCACTGCAAGGACCACTGCAAGCACCACTGCAGCCATGCCGTATACGAACCTTACCTTTCACAACCCCCAAAGTGACTCTACTGGAGCAACATAACCTTTCCTCACATGCTTCCTATTGTTATCATGCCATGCCACGCCATGCCATGCAATTTTACACCATGCCATGTGCGCTATGCAGTCTCTTTGAGTCGTACGATCCACGGTTCCTCATGTCCACTCTGGGCCATGACATGCCATGCTGTGCTGTGTCATGACATGCCATGATGTGCTGTGTCATGACATCCCATGCTGTGCTGTGTCATGACATGCCATGATGTGCTGTGTCATGACATCCCATGCTGTGCTGTGTCATGACATGCCATTATGTGCTGTGTCATGACATATCATGATGTGCTGTGTCATGACATGCCATGTGCGCAACACCATGCCTGTGCAGTCTCTTTGAGTCGTACGAACCACGGTTCCTCCTGTCCACTCCGGGCTATGCCATGCCATACACAAGCTCCCTGTCACTATGCCCTGCCCGTATCATCCCGCACCATGCCTGTGCAGTCTCTTTGAGTCATACGATCCACGGTTCCTCATGTCCACTCCGGGCTACCGCAGCGTCAACTTCCCCTCGCCTCTCCACCAGGTGATGCCTGCACCAGGTGATGATGCCTGCACCAGGTGATGATGCCTGCACCAGGTGATGATGCCTGCACCAGGTGATGCCTACACTGCAATGCCCATGCCATTCCATTGGCATCCCAGATGCCTCCTTCTGCTTACCTGTATTCTCGTCCTGCCAAGAGGGCAGTTGGTGATTACCATTTTCTTGTGCCACCTAATGCGTGCATGCCATGCCATGCCATTGGCATCGCACCCAGATACCTCCTGCTGCTTACCTCCTGCTGCTTACCTCCTGCTGCTTACCTCCTGCTGCTTACCTCCTGCTGCTTACCTCCTGCTGCTTACCTCTGCGTCCTGCCAAGATAGCAGTTGGCAGACAACCATTTTAATGTGCCACCTTGTACCTCCATCCACCAGGCAGTCACTTTGTTTGACTTTCCCCCCTCTGCTCTTCCCACTCCTCCCTCTCGCGATCCTCCTCTTACCCACAACAGGTGCCAGTCACTGACTACGTCGCCTCAGTCATGCCTGTCCAGATAACACCTGCCCCGTACCCTCTCTCTTCCACCGACATACCCCCGCCCGAAGCGATCAAGGCAGAGAGTGTAGGAGGAGGAGAGAGCTGTGCAGCAGAGGGAGGAGGTGATGGAAGGGGTGGTGTGAGGGAGGGGAACGGTGGGGCAGAGGAAGCAAGGCGTGGGAAGGGCTTGGAGAGGGGAAAGGACTGGACGCTGGACAGTGAGTCTTTTTCTGAGTCGACTAAAAAAAAGGACTGGACGCTGGACAATGCTGTGATGTGGTTTGGGGACCGTAAGCATGAAGAGGTGTTTGCGAGTCATTCCCAAGTGGGCGGGTGGGCACTGATGGGATTATCAGTTCTGACCCTTGTTGGAGCTGCGTGGGGCCCATGGCGTAATATGGGCATGGCATGATGAGCGTTTTGTGGAGCTCTGGCGTTGTTTGGGACTAGGTGATATACTATATAATTGGCAAATCGTTTTGCCGGAAACCACTGGATGCCCGTGGCGGTATATGTAAGGAATTTTCCCTAATTCCTTTCTGAGGCATCTTATTGCGCGTACAACTCCAACTTTCGGAGTTCAGCCTCGATCCGACGACCTTGCCTTCCGAACGTCCCTTGCGTCGCCTTCGGGTTTCCCAACCCCAAACTTGCGCCCGACCTTGCGCGATCCCGCGGCCTCGGCCTAGCTAGCTTCTGCTATATTAGTGCTACGGCTCATTATTTCGACAGACGTTGTAATCACTTACTCGTTATTGCATTCTGCGCATTCTTCTCATTTACAACTCATAACAGTATGAGCCTTAGAATGAAGCAGAATGTTAAACGCAGGGGTAGTGTACATTTATCTTAAGTTTGAAGTTAGTGTGAATGATCGCTACGGGCTTTGAGGCGTGTGCAGTGACCAGCTCCCGATACAAAAGCAACTGGGCTGTATTCATTCAGCATCAACATTCGAAAATTAGCGCGAAAAGGTCGCGAGAGTGCGACCGAGAGGCGAGCATTCACGAATTGGTTACCAGGTACACTCTCTGTCCGCAAATGGCGCCGGAGATTCCGCCCGCGCAGTCGGAGTACGAAGCTGCGCGGAAGCAGCAGATTCAGGAAAACCAGAAGCGAATGGCGGTGAGTCAGTCGCGCGCTCTTTGATTTTGGCCCACCACTCCGTACCGCGTGCGTCATGCACGTGCTCGCACATTTCGTTACACGCTGCCCTAAACCGCGAGGCGACGTGACGCACTCGTGGTCCCTCATGATGGTGCGTGTGAGGTCTTGAGTCTTGGAGAATGGCACCTCGTAAAAATGGCGCCTCGCGATGGCGCGTCACCCTCATGCGCACTACTGTGCCCTCACTACTCACGATGTCATCGCGAAACTTGGGTTTCTGGTTTTCCAACCGAAAGCCAGTCGTTGACAAGTGGAGGGGTAAAACCAATCGTCAACGCCTCGCAAACCTGTCCAGTTGGCCAGTAGGTTTCGACATCCCAGTTTTCGGGCGGCTCATTTGCGTGTTGCCAGGTATTTCATCGGAATGTTGGTTGACACCAACCAATCACTGAGACACGGGAGGCGAGCCTCCGGCTTGGCTGAGGTTGGGAAATGCCCCAGTCGCTAGAGAACCAATCGTTTGATTGGAGGTTCCGAGGTGTTGGGGCTTCGACAATGTGGGACGAAGACATCGTATGGGTGACCTGTTAATGAGACATTCCTGCACATGTAGATGTGGCATGTAGAACGGGAATGAATTTCAATTAGATGCTGGTTTTTTTATAGTGGCCATTATTAATTTCAATGTACTTATTAGGTGTGCTATGAACGGTGAGTTACATGTATGCGAAACTTGCGAAGAGAATTTAGCCCGTGAAGTATAAATGATATGAATGTAACAATGTTAATTAGATTATCACATTCAGAGATTGGTACATATAATATGTATATGCTGGACTGTAACCACGTGTTACAGGATTTGTCAAAGGAATTGGCGCGCGAAATGGAAGTGTTAGGACGAGGCACCTCTAGAAATTTTGCAGTTTCGATTGCACGATCGCTGATTGCACCGCGCTGAATGTCTCTGAAAGCATTCAAAATTCACTACACCATTTATTACTCCGCAAAAAATCGAACCTGCGCAGGTTCGATCGCAGGTACGGTGATACAAGGGTCAGGTCCTTATCATGTCGGTGGGCTGGGAGGGAGGGTGGTGCGGATTTGCAGGATTGTAGAGAGGCGCGAGAAAATGTACACGTGGCCCAGTTTCCACGCGTGTGCACTATTACACTCGCATCAATTTCGGCGATCCAATTTCGATCAGCCACCGCACTGAAAACCTGCTATTACAGTCTAAAACTTCCTGACCTTTTTTAAAACCCTGCTTTGTGTTAATGATCAATGGACACGATTGTCTCCGTTCAGATTTCAGGCAACGCGCATTACCCAATCACAGGAATTCGACGGCAGAATGTGTGTGTGAGGTTGACCCAGGGTGATGCCGTGGCAATATAGTATGGTGAAGAAATGACACTGTGTCCCGAAATTGACGCGTGGAGTTGCACAGTGACTCCGACAGCACAGAATTACCACCCAATGATACCCAACAGCCAGATTCAGAGTAGGCGAAGGTGCATCCCAATGTTTCTTCTGGTGCATCCCACCCGCACCCTTCCCATCCTCTGCTCGCATTCACAGATCAGTCATTCAGTTTTTTCGTCATTCATCTGCTCCATAGCTGTTTCTCACGCACGTTCCCCTACTCCCTCCGCGTCGCCTACTTAGAAAAATAATTTCACAGGCTCAGTCTAGCTGGCGCCGAGGGCACTGTTTCTCTCGACGTCATCAACCCGAAATCGCGTGCAGGATATTCTCAGGTAATCAGAAATCCTTTGCATTTTTTTCATGTTTTTTTTTTTTTTTTTTTTTTTTTCCAGATCTGTAGTTTCCTTCAAATCTGAACAATGTAGGTTTCGTCCGTAGTATCGCGAGTATCTGTGTTCTGCGCGAATGTTCACACTGCCCCTTATCATGCTGCCGTGATTTCGCGTTATTTTCCTTGAAGATCCTTCTTCATCGTGTTATCTGTGCCATGTTGAGAATGGTTAACCACCCTGCCTGTACACTATGTTTTTCCAGGTGTTTTGCTGCTACCGCACCTACATTTCGACACCCAGAGGTAAGCCAGCATTGCAGGGAGCAATAATACATCGGTGCTCTGCTTATCTTGCTGAGCTGTTCGTTTTTCTTTTTCTTTTTTTCCTTTTATGGATAACTGTGTATATGAGCAGCAGGGTTTCGTGCCTTCCAGGCTACAATCACTAACATTTCTTATGGCATTTCTGTTGGAATCACTGAACAGGAATGGATGAACTAGCAAATGAAAAGAGTACAAGTACCTAACCCTAGAATTGTGTACCCCCTATAGGCTAACCCACTGTAGCCTAAACTAACACAACATATATAATGTTTGACACACCCCCATAGGCAAAGTGGGGGAGAACTAGGGGTCACAAGACCAGTCAAGGCAAAGCAAGGCAAAACAAGCTCAGGGTGGATCTCAAGGATACCACACAAATTCCGAGCACAAGCAAGTGGTCACAAGACCAGTTCACATGCAGGTTTATATATAGAGATCACAGTACAAACAGACTCAAGAAGTAAGCAAGTGAGGTCCAGTAGGCACAAGGCCTAGAAGAGTGCAAAAGCGCTGATGGTCACAAGGCTGAAGCGCCTTGGTAAACACATCAGCAGTGTTGGCCTCAGAGGCCACGTAACGCAGGCGAAGCTGACCACGCTGCTGCAGCTCTCGAGCAAGGAAGTAACGCAGAGCAATGTGCTTCGTTCTGTGCTCCAGTCTGTGCTCCTCACACAAGGCAATGGCTGCCTTGTTGTCGACGTACAGCACTGGAGGAGAACGAGGCTGCTCTCCAAGGTCGGTCAGCAAGTAGGTGAGCCAGCGTAGCTCCTGGGCCGCCATGGCTGTGGCGTAGATCTCAGCCTCACAACTGGAGCTGAGAACAGAAGAAGAGCGAGTAGAACGCCACGAAACAGAACCAGAGCCAAGACTGAAGGAGTAACCCTGAGACGACCACTGAGTAGCCTGGTCGTCTGCCCAAGAAGCGTCTGAGTGCCCAGTGAGAACAACTGGGACTCGCCCTCCAAGCACTAGCCCCATGCCCGACGTACTGCACAAGTAGCGCAACACCCTCTTAGCTGCATCCATGTGCTCCTTCCGGTGACGGCCGGGAGCGACATAGCGTGCAAGAATGCTGAGAGGGTATGCAAGGTCTGGTCGAGTGCAGGTCATCAGGTACATGAGGCAACCCACAAGCTCTGGATACGGGCCACTCGGCTCTACGGACTCATCCGAAGGCAGAGCTGAGAGCGAGTGACCGGTAGGCAGAGGAGTGGGCTGAGGCGAGGAGTACGTGAAGCGGAAGCGCTGAAGGACCTGCTGCACCATGTGTGACTGAGTCAAGGTGATGGTGCGGCGTGCTCTGTCCCGGGTGATCCGCAAGCCAAGATAGCTTGTCAGTTCACCCAGGTCTGTGCAAGTGTGTCTCTTCTGCAGCTCCGACTTCACGTGGGCGAGTGCCACAGTGTCAGCAGTAGCAAAGACCAAGTCGTCAACGTACACAAGGACGTAGAACGGCGGCAGTGAGGTGTCGGTGCGTAGAAACAGCGACGGGTCAGCAGTAGAAGGCGCGAACCCAAGAGCCGCAAGCGTAGTCCTCAGTGTGTCGTGCCACTCACGAGGCGCCTGGCGGAGACCGTAGACTGGCCGTCGGAGGCTCCACTGGGTACCAGGAGGGAACGACCCAGTGAAGCCAGGTGGACGGCGCAGCCAGATCTCCTCGTGCAGGCTGCCCTGCAGGAAAGCAGTGCTGAAGTCAAGCGAGTGGAGCTCGTAGTCACGCTGAGCGGCGACGTGCAGCAGAACCCGAAGAGTGGTCATCTTCGGGGTCGGGGAGAAGGTCTGGAAGAAGTCAACTCCCTCGCGCTGACTGAAGCCTCGTGCAACGTAACGCGCCTTGAAGACAGGCGGAGAACCCGGCGGCCGCTTCACCCTGAAAATCCACATGCCACTGACGATGTTCGCCCCAGGCGGGGGAACCTCGTCGACGTAGGTGCCTGTGGACTTCCAGGAAGCCATCTCTGTGTCCATGGCAGACTGCCACTGAGAGGAGTAGGGACCGGCCATCGCCTCTGCGTAAGAGCGTGGGGTCGGGATGTCTGGTGCATCCGGGTCTCCCTCAGGGGCAACAAGCATGGACACGAGATGGGGCAAAGCGGCAGCAAAGCACTCAAACTCCTCCTGCCTGTCCTCAAGGACGTCAGTGCCAAGAGCACACTCACCCCCGACGGACGGAGGACAGACAGACTCAGACTCAGCAACTAGGCTAGCAGCGTAGTCTAGACGAC